ACTACGAGAAATTACCGGGAAAGTAGTAGTTGATGGAATGAGTGGTGTTCCAGAAATTGGCCTTGGTATGTATATGTACTTTATATGATTTAAATGCCTTAATTCTTGACAATAATTGGAATTAACAGAAGTAACTGTCCCAAGTGATGAGGAAAGGGAGGTACCAGATGAAAACGCTAAGCAGTCGGTAGCCAAGGATAAAGAAAATATCCCCAGCTGCTCTTCTCAAAATACCCAGAAGCATAAGCCACCCACCAAAAAACGTCGGTCCCTTACGGGAACTTTGAGGGACATGATGAGTCAACCTCTGGAAGATAAGAATATTTTGAAGCAGATATCCACAGATCTAAGGAAACTTCGAAAAATCGAAGCAGCAAAGTTAAAATTACGTGCAATGGAACTGGAAATACAGTACCCCGACTATACATTTGTGGTTGAGTCATCAGACTCTGAATAATTGTACGAATTTAATAAGTTCGTGTATTTTGTGTTCCAAAAAATAATTGTTAAGTTCCTGACCTACCAAAGAATAATTATTAGGTAATAATTAATAATAAACGTTCAAAAATACTTCATTGTCATTTTTATTATTAAATTTTTTTTAATTTTGAAAAAACTCATTAATTACTCGATTTCTAATCATATGGCCTCTGTTGAGTAATTGGTTGTCAAGTTCTTCAGGATTCTCCCCATTTTCTGGATAAGGGTCATCTTCTACAAACAGGTCAGGGTCTACAGGTAAGTTATGCATTATAATAAAGTTGTGTAATATAGCATAGGCGTAGATGATCTTGGAAGTAAAGGAAGGTGTATAATGTAACACTCTATCAGAGTGCAAGCACCTCCACACGCCTTTCAAAACCCCATTGGTTCTTTCTATACAGTTGCGAATCTGTTGGTGCCTGGATGTGTACCTAGCTTCTGGACTGCCTAGTGGTGCATGAGGAATAGGAGTAAGTAAATAAGGTAGAAGGTGATAACCGGAGTCACCAAGTAAATAGGTATGCTGGTCTCCGGCAATAAAATTGAGATGCAGAAATGCGCGTATGCGACTCATTCGCCAAATCGCAGCATCGTGTACACTGCCAGGGAATTGAGCGTTAATGGACAAGATTTTTAAATTAGCGTCGCACACTATTTGTGTATTAATACTATAAAATTGCTTCCTGTTGACAAAAACATGGGCAGAATATCCCAGGTTGAGATAACTGGGAGGAACTATCTTGACATGTGTGCAATCAACATAGCCTATAATCCCTGGGATATGAAATTTCTCAAAAAAACCTTGCTTTACATTAGCAATTTCGACAGCATTTTGCGGAAAACGAATGTATCGATTAGCTAAGTTATCCACCATCACATTCACCACCTCGTGTATAGATCTGCTAACGTTAGCCTGAGAAGAGGCATTTAAATGGTCGCTTCCTACAGGTTTCTAGTAACTCCCGTGAGCCAAAAAAGCTAAAGTCGTAAAAAAACGCACTGTTGGGGGTGTTTTTGTATTTCCCTGTCCATTAGCCAAAAATGGAAGTAGTTCTTGGAATAAATGATGAGCTCCTTCTGGGTCCAACCTGTACAACTGCCTGAAAACTTCATTAGGCAAATTGAAGGGGTTACTTTTGTCTCTTAAATGACGAAGGTTGTTTCGGTGTTGCTCTCTAAAATATTATAATTACCCGCATTGTAAATAAAAATAGTTAGGAATAAGTAGGTACCTAATTCTTTTCTAGTTCATCTAGAACAAGGTTAAGGTCCATTTTAAAATTAGGAAACAACTTTTATTTAAGCAAAACACTTTATTATGATTGCGAAAAAACTCACTTAACGACTTCTGTCTGGCCAACGACAGCTAGATAGGTGCCGTTCATAGACGACTATTTCAGACATTTTATCGGTAGTTAAACGACAATCGTTAACTTTACAGAATAACAAAAGTCGCCTATTAGCGATAGTCGCCTATGAACGACATCGTTACAGGTTACAGAATAGGCCCCTAAAACTGTATAAATAACCATTCTCACAGACATAGCGTAGGAATAAAGAGTGCCATCCTATCAGACTTATGCCTATCTACTCAACTTAAACTAATAAACCTAATAATGTTTTTCATTGCCTCACTATAGGCAATTAATCGAGAATTATATGATAAAGTGTTGGGAAAACTACTGGTTGTATTGTAGGGTACAATCTAAACATTTTAACTACCGATGTTTGGCATCCAATACTATCTAGTATGGGGCAGTAGATGGATAGCGAGTTCTTGGTGCCTCGCCTGGTTGTCTTCTTGTTAGAATATTTGATTTCAGTACTAGGAGTTCTACTCGCGAGATACCTACTACTTCTATTGTACTACTCGAGAGAAAATATTGTTGGTTTTTCAAAAGTAATTGAGTGAACATACATTTTGTTTCTCAAATATAAAGGGGGATTTCATAGCTTTTAATATACTGAAGTACTATTGATAAAAAATATCAGAACTAATGTGTTTTACTTTTTCACGCATTTAAGTAGAACTAAAAAACAGTAAAACTGGAGTCAGTTTTATGAAGCGTAAACTCTTCCTCAGCTTACTTTTATTGATGCGCCAAGTAGACTATGCTGCATTATCCATCTACTGCCTGACTATATTATGTATATAGTCTTGGATGCCGGAAATAGGTAGAGTAGAATTTTTAGCTTGTTTCCTCTACAACCAGCAGTTATTAACATTTTTCAACGTTTCAACTCATAGTAGCATCAGTTCATTGTCTAAAGTTATGCAATGAAGAACGTTATTAGTTTCAAGTATAGTCTGATAATGGCACTCTTACGCTATATTTGAAAATGCGTATTTATACAGTTTCAAAAAAGGTGAAACTATTTTATGTTTTGTACGCTTAGTCAATATTATCAATTTTAGGTACCTAACTCTATTCCTACCTACACCTACATCAAACTTAAAACAATAAACAATGCCCATTGAAACAGCATTTGAACTTAGAACCCGCTTGCAGTCGGCATCTTACATCTACTCCGGGGCCCTGGCACAAAATGAACACCCTGGTATAACATTTTGAATCCTAAATTATAGTAGGTATTTTTAAGTATGTTTTTGATAACAACATATTGAAAATAGAGCAAAATCTAGCCGTTCGTTTTTTTTTATTCTACACAATTTATCGAATTAAGTTATTTGCGACTTTTTCTAAATTGACATTTCTTTGCCGCCACCATTTTGTGTAAGACGCTGTAGGAACTTTTGTGACACATTTTAAGAAGACACCAAAACGCCTAAAACTTAGAGTAGAAACTTTTAATTTAAATGTGCTAATCGAGGAAATATAAACAAATATGTTAAAAAAAATCAATATCTCGAAGTCCAAAAAAGCCAATTTTGAAAACCCATAACTGAAAAACTGATCATAGGATTGAGTTGTGCCCATTAGAACTTTTAATCAGGACATCGAGGACTACATTATATCAAGTTTTCAAAAAATTTAGCCGAAAGCCATTTTCCATAAGAAATGTGCGAGGTTCTTTGTCGAAAATTATAAATATATTTCCATTGCACGAGTTGTATTTAATGAGAGAATTTCATAAATCAATAATTTAATTTTTTTCTCAAAAAATGTCAAAACACCAGTTTTCGCACCAGTTAGTATGCAATTACCTGATAATTTGCACTAGTGCAAATTATCGCGTAATTACAATCTGATTGGTTCAAATCAACAATCAAAACATGTCAATTTATTGTTGGAATACCAGTTTTGACAGATGTATGAAATTCTCTTTAAAAAAAAAACATACTTTATGTTGAGGTTTGACCGAGGGTTTGACAGTCATATGTGTCAATTTTTTTTTTACACGACTTGAAATGTTTGGAAAAAATATTATGCGTGGCGGAATCCTTTTTTTGATATTGAACCTGCTTGATCGTCCGGGAGAAAATAGAAAATTTAAATTCGAAATTGGTGGCGCGGCGCCAGCGCCAGCACAATGAGGCCTGGGGGGATGGGGAGTAATGATTGTGTCATTGCAGGGGTACATGGTGTATTATTTTCCGGACGAATAATAATATAGTATATTACAATCCGAGACGGGAAATGGTTCATTACTGGTCGAGAGGTTTTATAGTATATAAACTGAACCTCGAGACAGCAATGAAGTTTCCCGTCGAGGGTTGTATACTATTTTATTTTTAACCATAATTTCTTGAAAAAAAAAAAATCGGGGCAACCAAATAAGGTCGGCAAATGAAGAGGAAAATGAGGACGGGAAATATTTCCCTGCTCCATTTGCCGTCCGTGGACGGGAAATGAAGACGGAAAAAATGTCCCGTCCTCACTTCCCGTCCTGGGACAGGTAATGGAGCAGGAAAATGAAAAGACAGAAATGTGACATTTTCAAATTTTTGAAAAGTCAGTAATGACATTTCATATATGGTTAAAAATAAAAATAATAATTCGAAAATTCCGGGTTAATAAAAAAAAAAAAATCGACCGGAAGTTCCGTAACATTATCCACACTGATTACCAAAATTTATTAATTACATAGGAATTTTCTACCAAGTCGATAGGTTTTGCACTTTTTGTCCCTAGATTGTCTAGATTTTACTTGTTAGAGTTCATCTTTTCTCAGTTTTATTTATTGTTCTATTTTCTGTTTATTTATGTTTGTTCTTGGAGCTCTATTATCTTTCCTTTGAACTATGTTTCTGTTGTCCAGTTTTCCTTTTCTAGTTTCAGTATGCACATTAAGTACCTCTTCTATACCCATTCTGAATATTTCTTTGAAGTGTAGATTATTTACTAAAGGTGTCACTTTTTGGTCTGTCTCTATAATTTTAAAAACATTATTTATCAAAGTTGCTTTGGTTGCTATTTGGTCGTTAAAATTAACTCCATTTTTGGGATTATTATTTTTTATATTTATGTCTATCTAGTAATAACCATAAATTATAAATTTTAAGCAATCCATCATCATTAGTACTCTATTATTACATTGTGGCTAATTATTTCCAGATTATACTACCCCAACTTTAAGAATGACGAGTCAAGCAGTTCCAAAACAGCATGCTCCTATTCAAGTGTTCAAAGTAGACATTAAAGGTGAATTTTTTCAATTTTTGGCATTTTGTATTGTAAGTAATGTGTTAAAAGCAGGACCTAAAAACATCAAATCAATAGACAAATTATAAATGAAGTTGAACCTAACTACTAACAAAAACTCTTATTATATCTAATGGTTTTTAAGTAAAAAAAAATAATGAATAATGAAACTAAATTTTAATCTTTTTAGGACAAAATTCTGTTCTTACACCTGTGAATGTGGGTCTGGAGGATATTAAACAAATGACTCCCATTCCTGGACCATTTGCAACAACAACTTCATTATTTAGGCTACAAGAATTTGCTAGAACGTTTTACTCAGGTTAGTTTTTTTTTCTTTGGGACTAGTGGCCAGTTTTCATGATTCACGTGGTTTTGAATTTTAGAGCAAAATAATTTTCCAAATGATGACATAAAGATGAATGAGTTGAAATCGTCATCATCGCACATAACAGAAAAAGCTACTGTTCAGACCAAAGGGCCAGTTCTAGAACAACCAAACAGGGTGCCACCTGGTATTCACCAGGGCTGTGTGAATGAATTGTTTACACCTCCTAATCCTCCTCTAGATCAGAAAACACCAAATGGGGCCTCAATTTCAATAAACACATTTATCTCCAAAAGTATCCTGAGAAAACATATATTGGATCGAAAAAAGGCTACTCAAATACCAGGATTTTCACAATCTGAAACATTAAGGAAATTGCACAAAATCAAAAGTTTACAGAGGCAAGTTGTAGTTAAAGTGACCAAAAGTCTTGAAGTAAAGGTGTAACAATAATAGAGGACTTTTCAAATCTTGTGATATTATATTTAGCAACAGTGATTGAATCTCTTGGAATTTTAAAGGGCATTCAACTGACTTTTATTTTTGAAACTGAATAGCTTCAAGAAAATAAGAGATAGAAGCTAAAGCTCAGCCTACAATAGTTGGGTCTAGCAGTTTCGTACACATTATATCGGGTTTTCAAAAAAAAACCCAATCAAAGATTGCTTTGATTCCGAAAACGTACGCCGCATTACTGTTTCTTTATTGGTCAGTATTTTTGACATGTTATTTTGACATTAAAGTTCATTGACAAATTAAACATATTGCTAAGACATACGTTCAAAAACCCATAGCAATCTTTGATTGTTTTTTTTTTGAAGACCCGATATAATCCCATGTAACATTTTTATTTCATTTGTGGATCTTGTCAATATTTGTTTGTGTAAATCTATACCTAATGCTTTTTTGAGGGAGGTATAGGTTTGGAAATTTTTAATAAATAAGTAATATTCCTTTAGCATAATGGAATGTTTTTTTTTTTAAATAGAAATTAAACATGAATAAGCTCAATAATTGGAGTGTTTTCTTTGAGTCTAACTATAGAAAAGGAGGTGAAAATTAGTGGGGGCAACTTTTTTTTAAAGGCAAAGGGCATGGAGTTTTTTTTTAATACTCGTAGCCTCACTATACCTTGAACCCATATACATTGCAGCCAAAAAGTAGTGGTTACCTGGTAAGTTGTGATTAATGGTTTTGTTCAACCTTTCTGAATGAAATTCTTATTATTGTGGATACATCGAGGACGTTATTCGATTATTCATGTGTGTATTAAATTTCTGAAAAATTTTGAATATTATACTGTTATATGTAGTGATAAACCTGAGTATGTACTATTAGTAGGGGAGCCGGCAATATTAATGGGTATGTGATCGTTGCAATGGATAATTTTCACATAAAAGAATAGCTCAGTTACCTTTAAACTAAATGGATGGGTGGCCTCGATTCTCATGGCCGCAACCCTTTGATGGCTGGGCGTAAACTACCCCTCTTTTTCCGAAGGAACAATGTTATCGTTGCAATAGCTGAAAATTGGTAGATATATTCTTTAATATGTCTTCTCAAATAATATATAGGGTGGCCTCGATTTTGATGGCAACCCTCATTGAAAGTCGAGGGCACGCGTTATAAAAAAAGAAACATGAAATTGTGTCAATAAAGTGTTTGCCGCATATGATGAGAACCCCCTACACCGCAAGGTACTTCTTATTTATTGCGCTTATGGTTCTTGAAGTATCTTTTTATAAAACAACTTTACGGCCATGAGAATCGAGGCAACCCATCCATTTGGTTTAAAGGTTACTATGAACTATTGTTTTATGTAGAAATTATCCATTGCAACGATCACATACCCGTTAGTATTGCCGGCTCTTGGACTATATGTACCTATACTTATATCAGGAAGTGATTTTTTTTTGATAAATCAGTTGTTGAAAGAGTGCAAAAATAAATTTAAGTATTTCACGAGGTATTTCATGTACTGATATAAACTCAATTGCACCTATAGTTTTGTTTAATTTTAGAGAAGCTCGGGTTTCACAGTTCAAGGTTGGATGGATATATAAGGTCTGTTTCTGCAGAAATCACAAACCAGTCAGAATGAATTTCATTGGTTGAAACTAGTTTTCTGACTGTTTTCAACCAATGAAATTTGCTCTGACTGGTTTGTGATTTCTGCAGAAACAGATCTATAGTTTTCCGATGTGACAGACCTGAAAAGAATAGTTTATGTAAAACTCAGGGTGGAGTTTTGGTAGCAATTAGGAACTGCATCTCCTGTCGTTTATTGACACCATGTAAAGAAAATGTCGAACAACTTTTTGTGTAAGTAACCTTTGGTTGCCACAGGATTTTGGTGGGTAATGCATATATACCAGGTGTCTCACCTGTGGACATTTATGAGGGATTTTGTTTTTCCTTCATGCCAGGGTTGGAAAAAGCCCGGGTTTTTTTGAAAAAGTCCAACCTGTCGGGTTTTTTTGGGTTTTTATGGGTTTTTTGGGTTTTTTTTCGGGTTTTTTTGGGTTTTTTTCGGGCTTCCTGGGAGTTTTCGTTTTTTTCTTCAAGTTTCTGTCTCGGTTTTTGCTCTAGCAAAAGTATTACATAAATTATGACTTTTGTTGCAAAAATAAAATATCCCTTGGCATCAGTACACTGCACCACGCCTCTGGCTGGCAACCCCATAGACTCCGTGTCATAATCAACGGTGTCATGTAGAAATCTTCATATCGACAGGATTCTATAGACTTGGCACATTCGATATGTCGAATTCTAAATTCTACATGGCACGGAGTCCCTGCCCAGACCTACACGCCAACAGCGAACAGCCGGGGACTGAGTAATCATCAGGGAATTCCTGATATTTCCTATGAAAATGACGCCCATTCAACTGAAAATTTTATATTTTTGAAAAAACCCAATAATGGTGGGTTTTATCAATTGAAAAAACCCGATAAACCCCACCGGGTTTTATAGCCTGGGGAAATTCTATGCCAACTCTGTCATGCACCTGGTTGATTCCAGTGATTTTACTGATGTGTTCATGGGGAAACTTTAATCTTCCTAATATTGTGTGCAGAAAGGCTGAAAAGCCGAAACGACTCCCCCGAAATCTACAAGGGTGAGACTGGGTCAGTTCGATCGGGGATATTGGAAAAGGGGGCGTTGGCTATTGCTGACTGTGTGGCCTACCTAGGATTGTATCAATTGATAGATGTCCCAAATGTGTACCTATGGAAATTTCTCGGACTTGCTGTTTTGTAAATGTCATAACCTTTTCTCAGCCTTTGTTAAAACTGTATGTGCCACATCCTGCGTACGAGTGTTGTTTTAAATTCCGCAAGTTGGAAGTGCCACCGTCATGTGACTAATTTTTATCTTAACTTTGAGTTGGCTGATTTTAATCGGATAAATTTTAACTTGTCATGTGTTGACTGGAATATTATTTCTGAATGTACTGTCAATGTAGTGGTTTCATTGTTTTTGATATACTGGAGCAGATTATTGAGCAATTAACTCCTTTGTCATTTAAATCACCTAAATTTCCGAAATGGATGAATTCTGAATTGAAAACTATGATTCAAAAAAAAAAAAAAAATGGCTCATAGGACTTATAAAATGTCAAAAACTAATGAAAACTACTTAAAATTTGCAGACCTAAGATCACAATGCCGCATTCTATCTCGAGCATCACATCGTAATTTTATAGAGAGTCTTGAAAACAAACTTCATGGTGAAAAATCATTTTTGAAATGTATTAATGCAAAAAAGGGACATTTAGAATATCCTAAATTTATGCGTTTCAATAATCATGAAATAGATGATCCACAGGTGATTACTGAAATATTCAAGAAATCATTTTTCTGCTGTATATTCACAGTATGAAGACTCATCTTTTGATGGAAATTTTGAGTGTGACAAAACTAAACCTGGGCGATTTGAGCACAAATCTTGCATTGACGTTTTTAATAAAATTGACTCTCTGAGTGAAAATTTGAGAGCTGGTCCAGTAGGATCCAACGGAGTAACTTTATTACAAAATTGTAAGGTTGTGCTGTCTGATATTCCATGTAAAATTTTTAATCTGTCCTTTCATATAGGCATTTTACCCTCTGCCTGGAAGAAGTCCTATGTAACACCTGTTTTCAAAAATAGAGATAAAACTGAAGTAAGAAATTATAGAGCCATTTCGAAAATTTCATTACTTGCTGAAATCTTTGAATCAGTGACAAGTTGATTCCTCATCCTCATTTCAAAAATGTAATGATTGATAATCAGCATGGTTTTAGGAAGATCAACTATTTCCAATCTGTTAACCTACGAACATGTATTGTTGGATGTCTCCGACAATAAGTATCAGGTGGATGCGATCTACACCGATTTTTCAAAGGCTTTCGATAAAGTTGATCATAAAATCATGATTAACAAAATAAGATCTATTGGTATCCATGGTTCTTTATTGAAATGGCTTGAAAGTAATGCAGTAAATCGACGTCAGGCAGTTAAAATTAAAAACCATATCTCCTCGGAAATGGTTGTTACATCGGGTGTTGCACAGGGGGGGCATTTGTCGATACTTATTTAATGTTTTTGTAAACGATGTAAAGAAAATTTTTGACGACTGTCTTTTTCTGGGCTTTGCGGACGATTTTAAGATTTTTAAGATTGTTAAGAGTGTGAATGATTAATGATTCCCTTACTTCACTAATCACTGGTGCGAAATTAACAACCTAATTTTAAATATTGATAAATGTAATGTAATAACCTTTTGCAAAATTAAGAATCCTATTGGTTTTGGTTACCTACTCACTTGACAATGGGGTGCTGGAGAAAACAAATATGGTGAAAGATGTGGGAGTTTGGTTTGATAGTGAACTAACCTTCACTGAGCATATTGAAAAAATAACATCAAGAGCTATGAAAATGCTAGGTTTTCTGTTTAGGTCCCTCAAGGAAGTGAATAACATTCTGTCTAGCAATCACACAAAACTCAATGACGTACATGGGTTTCTAGCTTAATAAGAAGCTGCCAATAGCAGTCTGACGGTTGGAAAACCGAGAAACGTTTGAGGCCAATTTGGGAAGTTCAAATCAAAAAAAGGTTTATTGTCCAAAAAATTATGCAATTCCATTGACAAATAAGACAAAAAACTAGAAAGACAAGCAATAAGATAACAGTGAAAATTCTATAAACAATCAAAAACACCTGAACAGTTTACCATACATAAATGAAAGAACATTATCATGGGCTAGATTTGATAGCATCCAGATACCTCAGAAAATCCAACACAGAACCGATAAGCCAGCGCGGGATGGTAGCTAAATTTCCAAAAACAATCATCACTATAAACAAAGTCAAACACTACATGAATCAGTTCAAGCCCATTAAAAATAAATAATTTAGTAATTGAAAAATTGAAAATATCACAGTTCAAGAATCACAGTTTAAAAATCACAATAAAAGATTAAAGATTAGTCTGAGTAGAATTCCCCAAGACTGTAATAGGCTTTTTGGTTTCCAGAAATCTCTTTAAAATGTTTCACACCCTTTATTTCGTTTGGCAACCTGTGGAAAATCTTAATGCTTAATAATAGAAGAAGGTAATGGAAAATTTTGATTGCGTAGGTTGTAACCAGTGTCTCTCACTATATCAATATTTTTAAATTTCTAAAATATTAGACAGGCCGTGTCCAGCACAGCGTGTGAATTTTTTTTTCACACACACGCTCCGTAGAGTGCGAAAAAAAATTTCACACGCGCTTATTAGTTTTCTATTTATTTTGGTCCTATCATCCTGACATGACATGACATGACATAAATTGCGATTGTCACCAATTTCTGATGTTGATGATTTGTTTTCTAACAAATAAAAAGTACACATTTGGTTGATTTATTTTCCAGTTGTAGGAAAAGCATTGTGAAAAACTCGTTGGAAAACCTTTTTTTACATTCGCTCGACTTGTGGAACTCGCCTACTGCTCTTTTTTGTAGTACAAACACCAATTCAATACCTGGAGTTATTTTGATTGGAAAACCCCCAGAATACTATCCCATAGCGCTTCTACTCAATAATTTGACCATTCTTTGTGCATGAACCAAATCAGTTGTTTGTCTGTTATATCATCTACTATTGTGCGTCCTTTCGTC